AGTTGAAGTCCACTCATCTTAAAGTGGCCAAGTTTGGACAACACTGTATTAGGCTAATCAAGAGGGTAATAAATTCTAAAACATGCTCATTGACATCGTTTGTCTTATAGGAGCCTTGCCAAGTCCTGCTCTGAGCATCTCTTTCGGCCTCCGTGCCCCCAACTCCCAAATGCAGAAAAGAAATCCCAACATTTTTAGCCCTGGTGGGCTTCGGGATGGGGGGGGCTGGTGGGTTATCCTGCTGTAGAGTCTCAGCAACAAGAAACAGAATCGACCTCATTTTTATTGTACAAATAACAAGTATACATTTGTATAAAGAAGAAGACAACGCAGGCGGGAGCTTTGGAGCCCCAGCCGTGTTTGCTCAACTCTGCTTCGGGTCAGGCCAGTTTCGAGCCTGGAAAAACGTCTTCAGCCCTTTGAGGTTGACCGGCGGGAAGTAGGGCCCGACCCTCTTCCGGATCCACCACTTCTGCAGCTGGGCGTGCTGCCCGCCTGGCCTGCTGAACTTGTACCTGTAGTGCTCTCCCCGGACCCACCTGCAAGAAAGCAGAAGCAAGGCCGTGAGAGCCAAGGGGCTGTCCCCCCCACCCCAAACACGGCAGACGGCTTCTTCTGGAGCGTGGGGTCCCAGAGAGGGGCAGGACCATCTGGGGGCCCTGCCTTTACAGGATCAGGCCTTGGAGAAGTCCCTCAGCCTGACCTGCCTCACCGGTTGCTGGGGGCAAACTGGAGATGAAGCGATGATCAGCATTATATTACAATACTTGCATTTCTCTCCTTGTATTGCTTTTGGGTTGGGGACTGATTACTGATGTGTAATTTTAATTGTGACTGTATGATTATTGTTGTGAATGGAACCCTCCATGAGTCCCTCTATTGCAGTGGGCAATAAATAAATACATACATACATACATACAATGGCAAGACTCAAAACCAACCAGCAAAAAGGTATTTATTCAATGGCAAACCACTTCTGGATTCTCACCAAAAATGGTGGACAGGATCTGCCCGTGAAATCGCCAGCTGAGCTCGACTCCAGTGCCGTTTTTACTATCCCCATTTAATCGGCCATATCATCCCCATCCTGTGGAAAGGGGACCGGGATGGAAGGACCAGGCTGGTGCCCGGCGGTTATCTTGTGATTTCGTCTTAGAAAGGGGTCTGCACAGCTCCAGGCTGCGCCCACGGGCAATTCCCCTTCATGGGTTTCCAGTTGCGTGGAAGACCCCTGGGTCTGCGGAGGGCTTGACTGTATTTTTAGTTGTCTTCCAAGAGAGGAAGAGAAAAGCCATCTTGGAAAAGGGGAGAGACAGGGGGCAAAGGGGGTCCTCAGCTTCGCACACCGTTGTGAGCCGCCTGGTTGGTGTGGGCTGATTAGGAAGGCTACGGCAGCCTCCTGAAGAAGTTAATAAAATAACCCACCCCATGAAAAGGAGGGGCATCCCCAGGGGAGGGGGCAGAAAAGACAAGATGGCAGCTGCGAGCAAGAAGCCCACCCCTTCTGACGTCCCTCCCACGATCACGTTGCTTCCGTGGACTGTGTGCCACGTCGCACAAAGGGCACATCGCTGGGCAATCCCTCCTCCTGTCTCAAGCAGAAACTCTTCGTTAGAAGCCTCTGGACTTGCAACTGCTCCAACTCAAAGTCCGGCTGAACCACGACGTTCATTCGCTCTGCCGGATGCTTGTCCCAGCGCAGGAGACGGAGGTGAGCAGGGCATCTCTTGGGTGTGTCTCAAAAAGGTGAAGAGGGCGCCCTTACTGTGCCACTGAAGCTCCATCCTGTCTACCTGGTTGTGGGTGACATTGTGACTTTTTTGACTCCTGTGGATCCCCTTGGAGGGGAGGAGGAAGGAAAGGGGCAGCCTCTGCCTCTGTGGAGGAAGGCTAAAGAAACGAGAGGGATCACTCCCCACGGACACGGCTCTCGCAGGGTCTTGAGCCCCCCGTCACAGAAGAGCAGGCTCGCCTTCTCTCTGCCGAAGCCCAAGTCTGTCTGTCTGTCTTCCAGCCTTGACGTTCCCGCGCTTCCTCCTCCTGCCCAGGAGCAGCTGCACTGCAAAGAGGCCACCAGCCGTCCGCCCGCAACGACATTGCCCAACTGCGCAAGGCTTCCGAAGAAGCAACAGCCTCGAGGCTGTCGTGGCTGGAGGCTAACCCTTCCAGACAGGTGAAAACGGCTGCAGAGGACGCAGCTGTCTCCCCCCGGAACAGATGAGATGTTTTTGGAGGGAAAACACAAGCACGCAAACTGCGGGAGTGGGAGACAAGCAAGGTGGGCAAACCGTTTGCCTCTGCAAAGGTCAGGGATTTTTTGTTGAGCGAAATGGCAACGGTAAAGGGGCTGTGCCTAGAAAGGCCCTCCCTCCGACACGCCACCCTCATTGGCGAGACAGAGCAAGCGGCACGGGGCAGGTCGTATCTGGAGACACGGGCTGTGTTCACACCACACGCTAAACCCTAAACGAGGTCGTTTCTCTTTTTGGTGCCTTCGAGTCAGTCTTGGACAAGTCCCTGCAATTTTCTGGGCAGGATTTCAGAAGTGGTTTGCCATTGCCTGCTTCCTAGGGCTGAGAGAGAGTGACTGGCCCAAGGTCACCCAGCTGGCTTTGTGTCTAAGTTGGACTAGAACTCAGGGCCTCCCAGTTTCTAGCCTGATGCCTTAATTGCTCAGCCAAACTGAGAGTTAGCAAAGCCCAGGGTTGTGTTGTGCTCAATAATCCATATCGTGCTATGAAGCCATAGTGGCCTTCACACAACATGCTAAGAAAATGGTGGCCTCCCATAACCATGAGCTATTAAGCTGCCCTTTTTCTGGTTTAGCATATTGTGTAAACTCAGCTTTTGGACCTTTCCAGACCACCAGCTCTTGGGGCGAAGATGATCTCAAGCTTTCCTAATAATAATGTTCCACACATTGTGTTAAGCCACCATCTGCTTTAAACCTGATTTGCTGATCAAGCCAAATGATAAAGAATTCATTGTTACATGTTTTCCCTCCTTCTTGCCTTGTACTTTTATGAACTGCAAGGAATCTGCAAATGATCGACATCCTCCATTACACACTGTACACAGCTGCAACGGCAAAGAGTAAGCCAAACAACAAACTAGGGTTTGAAGCAATAGCCAATTCCCCAGAAGTGTCTATGGATTATTCGTTGACTTCTTTTGCAAGGTCAAGCCAAAAACCAGTGACCGCAACACAGCAAAACGCAACGTGTGAGCACAGGCGAGGTGTCTCCAGCCTGCCAACCTGGTTGCTACCACCAGTTGTGTGGGAGAAGTCCCAATGATGCACATGATGTAATTTGCATCCCTTGGATGATAATGTCAAGAGGCGTGCGATGTCCCTTGCCCTTTTCGTGTAGCTGCCCCAAGGCTATCCTGATGACATGAAGCTGAAGAGCCATGCTCTCTTCAGCTGACCCTGGAGCATGCAGAAGGCCAGAGTGGGCAAGTGTCCACGCCGCGGCCTTGAGTTCTAGGTGTTGCACCAATGGGGCTGGAGGACTTGTGAACTAGGGATTCCTCCTTCCTCTCTTACTCAAGAGCATCTTCTCAGACTGTCTCTGGATCTCAGGCAGCAGAGAGGCTTCTCCGTCCTTTGCTCCCTCTCTAGAGGGACGCTGGGATCAACGTGGGCACTTTCTGCATGCAAAGTTACTAAACTACAGGCCCAGTCATCTTAACCGCATCCCAACAAAAGGGACACGGAAGACATCTAGGAAAAGGTCTCTCTTAGACAATTCCTTCAGGGCCTGGGAACACTGCAGACCCAATTTGGCAACAGTGGGGTGAGAAGCCAGCCTGGATATTTTTTCTAATTGAAATTTAATTGTGCTTTCCCACTTGAGCAAAACCTTCTGCAACCATGTGGCGAAATCACGTCTTAATTCCCGTAGCCCAAACCACCCGTCTTTCAAGATTTACGAGGACGAAATGCTTTATGAACCTTGAGCCAGGCCTAATATTTTGCGCCCGGATGTTTTGCAAATATCCCTTTGCCTGAAGTCAAGTTTCACACTCAATTAAGTTACTCCCAACTCTACCATGACCTCATGCTTTAACCTTTTCTCTCTTTTTTTACAGAAGAGAGCCAGTCACCTGCTTTTCATTTTATGTTTTATTACACTTGCACAGCAGCAATAACCCACCCTAAAGTCTAATTTCACTTTTTTAAAGTGTCCAAACAATCCCGGTCAACTAAGTCTTTTTGAGATTGGCTATCAGAGAATTCCCATGAGTGAGATAAACTCCATGAAATGTCAGGCCCAGACAAGAAATGTTTGGTGAACAAATTCAGGCCTGCAAAAGCGTTCACTCCTGTGGATGTCTTCATTTTGTGTGTGCACATGTGTGTACGTGTGTCTGTGAGGGCAAGAGTAAAAGCATTCCAGCTACAGGACAATGCTCACCCCAAGATCTTACCCCACTTCGGTCGTGATTTATCCGCTGATTTATCTGGACAAGACTGGGACTGAAATGGATCAGTGTGTCAGGACGGCCACAAAGATGGACCTCACTGCCTGGCTCTCTCCCCCGGCCAGAAGATACCCCTTAAACTGGACTTACTTGGGCGGTGCCTTGCCCTCAAACGGGTTGAAGGCCAGAAGAGACAAAGTTTCCTCCTCGTTGGCCAACAGCTTTCCAGCGAAGTGAATTATCCATTCATTCTGCTCGTAGGTCTTGCAGGAAAAGAGAGCCAAGGTGGGGAAGAAAACACACATTTTTAGCAGTGATTAAATGAAGTGGATTTTAAGCAGAACATGTTAACCGGCAGCCTTTGAATAATTACAGATAAAGCAATGTATTAAAGTTGACACATGGGAAAAAAAGCCCCAAATTTTGTTTATTACGAAGTTGGAAGTATGGACTGATCAGACAGGTTAGAAACACATGTCAGCTGGAAAAAGCCTCCCTAGTTGGTGTCCCTCAGAAGCATTGAAATGTCAATTCTGGAACATAAACTGGGCTGAGAAATAATGGTGGCTTCATATCTCATGCTACACTCGAGCAAAACAGAGCTGGGATCGCTGTGTTTTGGCCAACGCAGCATTGCTATAGTGCGTTGTAGGAATCAGGTCCTCACACCGAGCCCTAATTTGGAGCACCGCGGTGATGTCGGCCACAGCCCTTGTAGTCGTTTCAGGTTCCTGTGAACCCGAGGGCCACTCAAGCGAGCAATTCAGCCAAGACAGCAACTTCTATCTTTGATGTGTATCCAGTCTCCCATCACCATGATTAAATTAAGCATGAGGGTCGAACTCAAGTCCAGCCTTGTGAGTGGCATCGGGGCACCTTCCTAACAAGTTTAGGAAGAGCAAGTTTCAAGTGTTGTTTTTGCAACA